GGCTTGCATCTTTCTTCTTTGGCAGCTACATGACATCTCCTAGACCCTGCCTACTTTCTCTCTCTATCTCTGTTCTAATTTCCTGCTTGGCTTTACTCTACGAAGTCATTGGCCGAAACAGTTTCTTTAATAACCAATGGGAACAAAACATATTCATTGCACACAGAGGGAATCCCACATCATATACATAATATTGGTGTGTACACTCACATAAAATATCACAAGAGACAATTTGTCAATGTTATGTTCTGAGAAGTATTTCACAACTCTATTTTTCTTGAATATAAGCAAAAAAAAATCATTGTCTCAACTGAAAACTAAAATTGGTGTGAGGGGTCTAATCTAATAACAGCATTCTGTCAGTAAGGGGCCTGACCTTTATACCTCAGCCTCTAAATCTAGAATGCCTTCATAATTACACCACAGATTATGAACCGCATGAGGTCATGAGTGTCCACATTTGCTGATACTTCTTGCCTGATAGTGTATGTAATAATAGATTGTAGTTACATTGGATGCTATGGATTCTCATTTTAAAATAAAACAAGGAGATGCTGCAAAAAATAAAAAATAGGTCCATAATAGCAGTTCACTTTAGGGCAAAGCGGTTATGGCTAGTATTTTCTTTTTATGAATTATTGCAATTTTGCTAAATACGTTTGACTCCCAGTTACTGTAATTGGTTTATTATGGGTGCAATGGCTTTTGCATTTGGTTTTCACCTAGATGTCATTCATCTTCTCTGAAGGCTACCTCTGAAATGCATGAAATTTCTTCCTGACCTTTTGACTTAGGATTAGTTTTATTTAATATGATAAATTGATTGCATTTTGGAAAAGAAAATGAAATTGTTACTTGGTTATTGGTAAAATAGTTCACAGCGATGATGAATTGCCCTGTTCTGCTGACCTAAATGCATTTTTAAGCGATGAAAGCCATGGGTGCAGTTGTCACTGCAAGAGTAATGGATGAATGTAACAAAAATTCACTTCCTAGGAGTGTTTGCCATAATTGTTGACATGGTAGTACAATTGATACATACTATTTTGGTGGTTGGTGCTCAGGGCTTGAAATTGCCATGGCAGTCTTGAGTTGTGGCGAATCTTTGTTGGTAATACACAATCAGGAGGATGAAATCGTTTTCCTACACTGCCTTGGAACCACACTTATGCAAAACTGAAGAACTGCTCCTTTCAGAGCATCTTGCCTTGACCTCGTTGTATTTATAAATAACAATTGACATGTTATCAAAAGTATCTCACTCCTTTTCCATCTCACCTAAAATCTATGTCCAAAGGTATATTCTACCCTACCCTATTCTGCAGCGTTTACCTACTTTTGTGTAATGGTTTTTGCAAGAGAAAGCCAAGAAAGACTTTGTGATAGGAGCCATGGGGATTCAACCTTAGTCTACACGGTGGTATAACTGCACAGAATTTGAACCCTAGCTCACCAATGTGGGAGTATGCCACAGGGAGCTCCCAGCCAGGGCTGTGTCCTGCTCCCTGACAGCCACAGAGGAGACACATTTGACCTTAGCTCACCAATGTGGGAGTATGCCACAGGGAGCTCCCAGCCAGGGCTGTGTCCTGCTCCCTGACAGCCACAGAGGAGACACATTTGACCCTAGCTCACCAATGTGGGAGTATGCCACAGGGAGCTCCCAGCCAGGGCTGTGTCCTGCTCCCTGACAGCCACAGAGGAGACACATTTGACCTTAGCTCACCAATGTGGGAGTATGCCACAGGGAGCTCCCAGCCAGGGCTGTGTCCTGCTCCCTGACAGCCACAGAGGAGACACATTTGACCCTAGCTCACCAATGTGGGAGTATGCCACAGGGAGCTCCCAGCCAGGGCTGTGTCCTGCTCCCTGACAGCCACAGAGGAGACACATTTGACCCTAGCTCACCAATGTGGGAGTATGCCACAGGGAGCTCCCAGCCAGGGCTGTGTCCTGCTCCCTGACAGCCACAGAGGAGACACATTTGACCTTAGCTCACCAATGTGGGAGTATGCCACAGGGAGCTCCCAGCCAGGGCTGTGTCCTGCTCCCTGACAGCCACAGAGGAGACACATTTGACCTTAGCTCACCAATGTGGGAGTATGCCACAGGGAGCTCCCAGCCAGGGCTGTGTCCTGCTCCCTGACAGCCACAGAGGAGACACATTTGACCTTAGCTCACCAATGTGGGAGTATGCCACAGGGAGCTCCCAGCCAGGGCTGTGTCCTGCTCCCTGACAGCCACAGAGGAGACACATTTGACCCTAGCTCACCAATGTGGGAGTATGCCACAGGGAGCTCCCAGCCAGGGCTGTGTCCTGCTCCCTGACAGCCACAGAGGAGACACATTTGAAGCCTCCCTGAAGCTTTTGACTTAGTTTACTCTTCTGCCTTGACTGCCTCTAATCCTATCTTGGTTTTACCACTCTCTGAAAACTCCTATCTCTGCCTCCCAAATGCTAGGATTACAATCCTACACCAACGAACTCTTCTGCTGTCCTCTCCGGAAATTGTGGCAATAGTGAGTTTAACCTTGTCTTGTCTCAAACACTATAAGGTGAAATGGGAAACAAACAAACAAACAAATGAAAAACCTACAGGTTTGGGGATCAGAGAGAACGTATTTTGTTTTCCAATTGTATTGCTGACCAGTTATGTGACTAGAACTCTCAATCCCTCTGTTCTTGAATTTTGCCTCTGTACCAAAGGGATATGAATTGATAGAATTGATATATAGCTTGTTATATGGACTGAGTCTGGGCTATAGTAGCATCTCATTAGATGTTAAGTGGCACATCTAAAAAAATAGCATAATTTTATTGACATACTTTTCATTGCCAAGGACTACTCTGTGTGAACTTACCCATCTAAAGTCCTGGGCAGGGCAGAAGCACAGGACCAGGATGCTCCAGGGAGAAGGGCGGAGGAAAGAAGGAATGAGAGCAGAGAAGAAAAAGGGAAATGAGACTCTATTCAGATGCAGACCTCACAAAACCATACCTGGACAGGAGCACTCACAGCATGGGAGGAATTAGCAATAACAAATTATTTTGTTGATAAATTAGAATGTGTGAAATAGTAGCACATGCTCGTAATGTTAAACTATTTCCACCTGTATGTTCTGATGCATCTCAAGAAGGACTCGGATGTGTGTTAGCTGGTGGTCCTTGGGAAGAAAGATGTTTGTTGCCAAAACACTTCTTCGTCGACTTCCTTTTCTGCTTCCTACCACACCTCAGTTCCCTGTACAAATAACACAGTTTCTATCCTCTCATCTAAAACCTTCAGGGGACACAAAATGTTCTCAGAGTATACAGTCACAGTTCAGACTCCTAAGCTGGCTGCTGCTCACTGTGCTTGTATTTTCCTGCAATAGTGTATATTGTGTGTGTGTGTGTGTGTGTGTGTGTGTGTATCTACCACTTCACCATCCCTCCCACTGTGCCTGATGTTTCTTCCACTGCTCTGTTGGTAGACTTTCCGCATTTTCTCTTTCTATTTACTTTAAACCTGATGTTCTCTCTACCCAGAATGCTTTTCTTATTCATCTTTAAGGTTCTAGTCAGTGATCCTCCTGTGCCAAGCCATCTTATAACATCATTGTAGAATTAAATATTCCTTTTTCTGAAAGCTCACAGTATTCTATAATACTATATTTTATAGTGGGCTCTGATAGTTCAGGCTACAGTCCCATCAGCATGTAAACTGAAATTCCTAGTAAAAGTGTCTAACTTATGTTCTATTTATTTTATTATTCAATATCTATCTATTGCAACATGTACATATTAAGTCCTCAAGTACATCTGTTGAGCTGTTACTGTAGACATAGCTTCAAATTTTTATAGACTCTCTTGTACACACCTTTAGAGATTTCTTCCTTTTTAAGTAGTAATCAAACGTTTAGAAAAGAAAAATCTTTATTACTTTAAAACTCATTTTAATTCCAAAAAAAAAAAACCCACTGACTTTCAGAACACTAAGGTTTTGTTCTGATAATAATGCATTAGATGCAAGGAAACTCAAGATAGTTTTAGATGTATTTAAGATAAGGGAATTTTTTTTACTTAGGCATAAAATTTCATAACCCATGCTTAATCTAAAGCAGTTGAACTCTCTACATGTCTTTTTGCTTTATTTCTGGAGTAATTTTGTGGTTCATGGTGTCCTAACATTTGAATGCAGCCCAGGGTAACTGAATTGATTCTTGTGTCTCTTCTCTGAAAGATGTTTTCAGTGGTTGATAGTGTGAGTTCTGTTTTCAAAAATACCAAGTCCAAAAGGATACAAATGCTCCCTTAAAAAGCCTTGGGTGGCACTGAATTGCTTGACTGAAGGATGAGATATGATGTGTGCAGTGCGATTGCTCTGCTTCCCATCCAGGGTGTCTTTCCCCGGTTAGCCCTTCTCTGGAAGGTTTGCTCAGGGAATGCTGAGGTTTACAGAGGAGAGGAGCTGTGGCTGGAGAATCGGGGTGGCCTGTGACTCAGCTTTCGCATTGGTGCAGGTGGGATTTTCTCTTCAGATTCTAGCTGTTCTCAGCTCTTGGTGAGCCTTACTGAGAAGCAGAGCCTACAAATGTAGGCAAAAGAATTTCTATGTTCCTAAATTTCTTAGAAAGCCTAAGAACCAAGCATAAGCTTCTAACCAGAGAGTGTTTTTTCTACCTCAAATGTGTTTACATGTATGTATGTATATTTGTCTGTCTGTCTGCTTGTCTGTATTTCTGCCTCTCTGTCCAAACAATCCTCTATCTCCAAATTGAAAACAGGTCAGACTATCCATTAAGGTGATGTATAGTCACCCAGGTCACCTCTCCAGTGTCACTTTTGATAGAAACCAGCAGAAAGATGTTTTGGCAAATGTATTCGTAATTTGTCTTCCTTGCAGGTCTCTCTTGGCAATTGTGTGTCCCATCAGGGACTCCGTTAACCTATTGACAGTCTACTATGATTAATGACACTGATGCCTAGTTAACATTTTCCTCCCCTCTTCAATTTACAGAGCAATGCTAAGACAACCTTCGGCTTAAAGCATTAAAAAGAAATTTTACATCTTCAAGTAAGAAGACTTCCTTCAAAGGTAGGATCTGTATTTTTATAGTATTTAAATTCTTAAAGGGAAGTATACTATAAAATATGAGATTATGCAGCATTAGTATCATGTTTAATATTTTTCATCAGAGAGCATGATAAAAGACAGGAAGGAAGACTACAAATGCAGACATTTGTCATCTTGCTTGTCAAAGAGGATAGATCAAATGCACACAGAAGAAAACCAGTCTTGCTGCCTATTCATTGGACAGGAGTGATGTTTGTGCTTTACTCAATCATGACTCATTAAGCACAGAAAATAGCATTGTTGATTAAGAAAAATCACTGACGGAACTAAAAGTTAAAAACTGTAGGACACTATTAATAAGAAAATCATTTTTGTCGGATCTGATCATATATCAAAACCCTGAAAATAATGGCATCCTGCTTTTCTGGTATCTCCGAACAATGACAAGACTGGTCCTGAAAGCTGAACTATGACTTTGAAATGTGTTTGCTGTTTTGTAAATCCTTTCCCCACCCCTGGCTTCCCACTCTTCCCACTGCCCATTCCACTCCCTTTGAGTCACGTAGGATGATGAACTCCAGAACAGACATGTGATGGTTTCTGAAAGGCCACCTATTGTAGTACTATACTTGGTGGAAACTATCTTAAATGGAAATCTGGAACATAGTCCAGAGAACTAGATCTCAACCAAAAAGAACTCTCTTAAAGACTTGTAAGGGCCCATTGTTCAGATGTCTGGTTCTCTACTTCATAGGTTTTGTTAAACAAATGAATTTTCATGGATTTTAATTAAGTAAAGGAGATTGCATGTAAGATTTTGAGGTAGTAAAAGCCTTCCATCATGTTTTGCCCATTGTTCTTGAGAAGAGTTGATCTACTGAGATGTCATTTTGGAATTAAGAGGAAATGATTCATGCCTCTGGCTGAATTTGGTATCATTGTGCTATCTAGAAACTGATTTCATATGACGGATTCTTCTGGTATTCTAAAATACCATCAGAAATCCCCCAACTTAGTGGGCCAGAAATGAATACTGCTTGTGGTGACAGCAAGCCTTCTGTAAGGAGTTTGTGGCATGTTTGCCACAAGAGGCAGAAAGACAGCAAAGGCAAGGGCTTACCTTCAGGCTGTAGGTCCTAGCGCAGCAGGTATACCAGATGGCAAGGTAAGTGAACTGATCCCTAGGCTCACTTGAGGTTGTACTTGGAGGAGGCAGTGACAGGACAAACCTGAGTGTTTTCCCAGGTAGTAAGATTTCGTGGGATGGCTCTAAGGGAGGTTTCCTGGCAGGATTATGGTACTTCCTATTCTTACTATCAAGAAATCTCTCATCTTCTAGAGAAGGAAGTGAAAATGCTGCCTTACACCTTTCTCAGGACATTCCTGCTGATTGGTTCGGCTAGCCTTTCAAGTGACTAATGAGAACTTTCACTTGGTTAGAGCTGCTGAACTGTCTCCTTTTGTCCTTGTGAATGGACTCATCTACCCAAAACTGAATGCTTAGAATCTTCCTAATTTTTGTCCCTTGCTTCACAAAGGCACGCTGAAACTTCTCAAAATTCTAAAGCATGCTTGTATTCAGAATACCTCCAGGCTATCCAGCCATTGGCCTCTGACATTAGACTAAGAAAGTTTTGGGGGTGAGGAGGGCCGGAAGTTGAAAGCTAACTACAGCCACTGGGTTTTCAGTTGAATTTCCCACAATTGTTAGTGCATTGTGGTGTCTTAAATATATGAGATGCAGGCCTGTGGACTGTTTGGGAAGCCAACATTCATCCCAGATCCTTCTCTGAGAAGTATTACTTGTCTCTTCCTGTTCTATGTTGGATATGATACACAATATTTATCATTTACTGAAATATATGTGTTTTTTTTTTTACAAAGGGAAATATTGGGGGCTGGCTTACAGTTCTAAAGGTTTAGTCCATTGTCATCATGGCAGGAAGCATGGCAACATGCAGGCAGACTAGTGCTGGAGAAGGAGCTAAGAGTTCTGCATCCAGATAGGCAGGCAGCAGGGAGAGAGCACTGGGACTGGCTTGAGCATTTGAAATACCAAACCCCACCTCCAGTCACTTGCTTCTTCTACCAAGGCCTTACCTACTCCAGGAAGGCAACACTTCTTATTTGCCCTCCCCTAGTGACAGTCATACAAATCCTTGAGCCTATGGGGGCCATTCTTACAGAAAATCTACATTCCTAGCTTATTTGAAAGCAAACCCCAAATTCCTTTAATTTGGAATTTCTTTAATGTGCCAATGTGAGGAGCAGGGCCATCCCTGCAGTCAACCCCCTTGAACTGGTTTCCACCATGGCTAAATTACTGCGTCTGAAGAACCTGTGCATCCTGAAGTGTGTTAAAACTTGGCAGATTGTGAGAAAGGAAAACATTCTAGGAGTCTAACAGGTTATTGGAACTGTTTGGTTGTTAATGACTTGAATGTTGTTCTTTTGCCTGGACTTGTGGGATTCAGTTGTTCATTTATCTGGGGAGAATGGTAATCATATTCTCAACAGATAATAGAACTAGCAGGAAGATCTGATTTTATAATTCAGTTGACTTGTAAATATAAGCAAGAATTTTATTGGAAAACCTAAACAGGAACTTAAGTTTAATAATTTTCAACAATAAAGGGATCTTTCTAAAGCTAAGAAGTTTATCCCATGTTATCAGATACTAGTCAATATGCTTCCTCCCAAACTGGAGATGGAAAGTTCATGAATGATTCAGTTACCCTGGGAGTCCTAGAATTTACAAAAACCAAGACAAGGGTATAAATATCTTTATTATTTCATTTCAGTTGAGTTTACTTGATTTAGACAGGGAGAAAATCAGAACACTCTTTGTTGTAGTTGATAACTCTCTCTCTTTACCCAGATGGATCCAGAGGGGAAGATCCAGATTCCAACTAAAGTGACAGCATCTCTTAGGCATTGCCACATGCACTGACTTCCTATGGTGGTCACAGCAAGCCTTTCCCAGATCAGCCATAGGCTACATTCCTTGGAAACCCAATAATGCAATGAGTAGTGTTCTGTTCTTCTACCCCATGTATTACACATCATTCTCTCTCTCTCTCTCTCTCTCTCTCTCTCTCTCTCTCTCTCTCTCACACACACACACACACACACACACACACATTTCTGTGCATTATATATATATATATATACATTATATATACACATGTGCATATATTTTTTGTTATTTCTTTGAAAACTTCATATACATACACTATATTTTGATCATAATCACCGCCCACTCCTCTCCCCACCTCTTATCAGATCAGCCCTCACTTCTCCAACCCTCTCCTATGTCCTGTTTTTAAAAGAATAACCCATAATCTTATCTGTGCTGCCCATATACTCTTGGGGATATCCACTGGAGCATAGTTAACCTGCCAGAGGCTATACTCTTAGAGAAAACTGAGTCTCCAACTTCCCGAAGCCATTAACCTCAAATAACTTCTCAGCTAGGGTGGTGCTCATGAGCTCCTCCCTGCTCCATGGTGGAATATTGATAGGCTTGATCTTGTGGCAGGCAACCACAGCTGCTCTTGCGTTCAAGAGGACAACAGTCCTATCATATCTAGAAGACAGTTTTGCTCTGATCTTCCCTGACTTCTGGCTTCTAATATCTTCTCTTTTGCAATGGTCTCTAAGTCTTAGGGGAAAGGAGGTATCCCTCTCTCTCTCTCTCTCTCTCTCTCTCTCTCTCACACACACACACACACACACACACACACACACACCCCACATTTGTGGCTGAGAATTCCAATGACACTCATTTTCTACCCTTTGACAAGCTGTGAGTTTCTGAGTTAAACACCGTCCACTGCACTGAGAAACTTCTCTGGGTATAATCTGAGAGCTGCACTACTCTATAGATATAGAGATGTGAATTTAGAGGATAGTTGGATATTGTATCTATTTGGCAAAATAATAGACTCTAGGACCTAGGCTTCATTCTTCTTCTTATTATCATCATCATTATTATTGCACACGATTCACAGTACTGGTGAGATACTTTCATCCTATGAGATAACCTGTAAAAACAGTCAGAAAGCTATAATTACTCATATAACATTTATGCTACTAGTGCCATATGTTGCCCCACAGGTTGTTACTTGAGCTCATCGAGTTTCAGGCTGGGTAAGAATGGTAATTTTTCTCCATCGCAGTCTACATAACACCTTCTAGTGCTATGAAATCTAGCCATGGAAGGAAGTTTTTGCTCAGGCCAGCTGATTTTTCATGCCCTGTGACCAAAGGGTTTTCTGTGTTTAGCAATAGGGCCTACTATCAAGTACTATGGGCAACCAAGCAATATCAACGAATTGTGTTGTGTTGGAGGGTCTCTGGGATAATCATGACCAACCACGAGGGAGGTATGTCACACCTGGGACTGGGCTTTCTAGCTGGCAACCTGTGACTTCTAGGAGGAGCTTTATCTCATGCATAGAAGAACTCCAGTTAAACTTTTTAAAAGTTTTGACTTATTTATTTTATATGTATAAATGCTTTCCTTGGAGATAAGATGCTACGCTGGAATTGGAGTTACTGATGGTTGTGAGTGCAGGAAACTGGACCCAGCTCCACTACAAGAACAAGTGGACTTATCCACTGAGCCATCTTCTAGCCCCCTCCAATTGAACTCTTTTATAAGATTACTTTTAGGAATCTTATAAAATGATAGTTTCCTTCTGGTTTTTACAAAGGTCCTCAGTGTTAATTATTTGTTTCCCAAGTCCTTCCTTGTCCTCCCCTACCATCTCTCTCCCCACTTAAACCTCCTTCTCTACTATTCCCTTTGTTCATTTCTGTGTGAAGTCTAAGCAAGTCCATGTATTTCAAAGTTATATGAAATTATATTAAATTCCATGTACAGTGCTTCTATAGGGACACTGAGTTCTTATTCATTTCCTTAGACTTCTCTCTGGAGTGGCATCGGAATTGAGATGCCTTTATTAATTGCATTACTTCTGTCCCCTTCATCTTGTCTTCATGATTTTTTTCTGTGGATG